ATAAAGTGTAGCCAAAGTTTTCAATGTTTATAAAGTCTACTGTAGTATATACAATAATGTGCTAGGCCTTCGCATTCACTTACCAAGCTTCTCACCGACTCACCCTGAACAACTTCCAGTCCTGCAATCTCCACTCATGGTAAGTACCCTATTCACGTATATCATTTTTTAATCTTTTATACCATATTTTGACTGTACCTTTTCTATATTTACATACATTTAGATAAATAAATACTTGTCATTGTGCTACAATTGCTTATAGTATTCAGCATAGTAACATGCTTGTACAGGTTTGTAGCCTACAAGCAACAGACTATACCACATTGCTGAGGTGTATAGTAGGCTATACCACCTAGGCTTGTATAAGTGCACTCTATGATGTTCATGCAATGATGACAATGTTTAATGGCACATTTCTCAGAAAGTAATTTGGTCATTAGCTGCCACATGACTGTGTTTTCTCCCAGTCTGAGGCTTTAAAAAAATCTTCTTAATGATGTCTTCAAAAGCAAATATTTTAAATTTTGGTGCAGTCCAATGTATTATTTTTTATTGATCAAGCCTTTGGTGGTGTTTTGGGGAAAACTGCCTAACCCAAAGGAATGAAGATTTTTCTCCTATGTTTTCTTTGAAGACTTTTAGAGTCTTAACTCTTACAGCTGGGTCTATTATCCACTTTAATTTTTGTGTATAGCGTGAGGTCAGGTCTAAATTGAGTATCTTGTATGTGGATATTAAATTGTTCCAGCATTATTAGTAAAACAAAACAAAATAAAACAAAACAAAACTATTTCCCCCATTGATTTGCTTTGGATCCTCTGTTGAGAGTCAACTGACCATGAATATAATTTTTAATTCTAAATTTGGTTCAATTTATCTATAGGTCTATCATTATGCCAGTATTATACCATTGCAATTACTGTAGCTATACAATAAATATGGAAATGAGGAAATATATATCTTCCAGATTTGTTTTAGCTGCTCTGGATCTTATACTTTCTCATAGAAAGGCTAGAATCTGCTTATTAATTTCAGCAAAATATCCTGCTTAGATTTTGATATAAATTGGGTTTAATCTGTAGACTAATTGGGAGAAGAGCTATCATCTTAATAATACTGGCTGTTCCAATTCATGCATGTGGAATACATCTCCATTTATTTATATCTCTTTTTCGTTTCTCTGAACAATGTTTTGTGATTTTTTAGTGTACAAGTTTGAACTTCTTTTGTAAACTTTAATTCATCGTTGTTGTTTTTGTTTGTTTGTTTTGCGATGGCGTCTTACTCTCTCACCCAGGCTGGAGTGCAGTGGCATGATTTCAGCTCACTGCAACCTCTGCCCTCCAAGTTCAAGTGATTATCCTGTCTCAGCCTCCTGAGTAGCTGTGATTACAGGCGCCTGCCACCATGCCCGGCTAATTTTTGTACTGTTAGTAGAGATGGGGTTTCACCATGTTGGCCAGGCTGGTCTCAAACTCCTGACTTCAAGTGATCTGCCCATGTTGGCATCCCAAAGTGCTGGGATTACAGGCATGAGCCACTGCGCCTGGTCAAAAATGTTTTCTTAATTTCATTTTCAAAATGTTAATGGATAGATTCTTGTATATTGTTCATGTATCTTGGGACCCTGCTGTCCTTGTTTATTAGTTCTAGTAGTTTTTGTGTGGCTTCTTTAGAATCTTCTACATATAGAATCATGTCATCTGTGAATAAACGCAGTTTCTCTCTCTTCTCCCTCACCATTCTGAATGCCTTTTATGTATTTTTCTTGCCTGACTGTCCTAACTACAATCTCCAGTGCACTGCTGAATAGAAGTGATAAGAAGAGACATCCTTTCCTAGTTATCAATACTAGAGGAGAAAGCATTTATTACCATGAAATATGGTTTGTCATCTAAAGGCTGTTCATAGGTGGTCTTTATCAGAAAGTTCTCTTCTATGCCCACTTTGTGGAGGGTTCTTTTCTAGGCCTACTATGTTCTCTTCCATGCCCATTCACTTTTTTTTAAAATTGTCAATGAGCACTGAATTCTACCAAAGCTTTTTCTTCATATTTTCATATATTCATGTGGTTTTTGTTCTTTTTTCTATTACTATGTTGAATTACATTAATTGACTTTTGGATAATAAATCAACTCTACATCACTAGGATAAATCCCTTTTGGCTATGGTGTACAATCTTTTGCATATACTGTTGGATTCGATTCATTAATAGTTTGTTGAAGATGTCTGTGTGTATGTTCATGAGGAATATTGGTCCGTAGTTTTCTTTTCTTTTAATGTGTTTGTCTGACTTTGGCATGAGGGAAATACTGGTCTTATAGAATGAATTGGTGGGTATTCCCTTTCTCTTTCTAATCAAGGAATTTGAGAAACATTAGTGTTTCTTTTCTTACGTTTAAAATAATTCAAGAGTGAAGCCTAGGCTTTTCTTTGTGGGAAGATTTTTTCATTATCAAATCATTAATTCAACTTCTTTACTTATTATAGGTTTATTCAGATTTTTAGCTGCTTATGGATCAGTTTCTGCAATTTGTGGCTCACCAGGAATTTATCCATGTCATCCATGTTGTTTAACTTTTTGGCATAGAATTGTTCATTGTATTCCAAAATAATTCCCCAAAGGGGAATTATACACTTTTAATGATAACTGTTCACCTGTATGTTCTCTCAACATATATTTTCAGCAGTGTCTCACTCTACTGGTATCAATTTACTGTATTAGTTCGTTTTCATGCTGCTGATAAAGACATACTTGAGACTGGGAAGAAGAGTTTTAATGGACTTATAGTTCCACATGACTGGGGAGGCCTCACAATCATGGTGGAAGGCATAATCTTTGAAATATGATACATATACTTAAAATTAAATGCAATATTTATCCACCAGATGAAGAAAAACCCTTAAGGAGGTTCTTGTCACCAAAGGAGTTTATAACATATTAGTAATTTATTCATATTCTGACTTGTACCTTCCACTATGACTAATATATCGTATTAGCCTAATTAGCCAAAGGTAATGTTGTTTTTAGCTTTCTATCTATTCCTAAATGTTATTTCCTAGTTTTTATTTCTTTCTTTTATGTGTATGTACATGTTTTTACTTATCTTCAGGCTTACATATCCTTAATAAATTATTTACTAGAGGTTAGTTGATAGTGACAAGATTGACATGGTACAACATGGAGTCATTATGTCACCCATGGGTAAGTTTAATACTATTACTGACTAAGTACCAGAAAGATCATTTGGGGATGTGAAAATATTAAAAGCTGCAAGATAAATTATAACAACTGCATGAAAATCCATGACACATACAGCTAACCAGTACTCTAATCTCATTTTTTCTCACATCCACTATTCCTAAGTAGCATGGGGAAAAAAATGAAAAATGTTGATAGATTTAAGTGTTTCAGGTATTGAGAGTTCTCAAGTCTACCAGTTATTGCAATAAAAACTGAAGGAAAGGTCAATCCCGAATGAAAAGAAGATGCTGGCTAGCGTTAGCAGCCTATAAACTTTAAGAATTAGTATATAAATTACATTAGGTTGGTACATATAGTAGTAATCATTACGTAGTAACCCGTCATCCCACACTGTAATTCAGAGAGAAAGTACTGAATAGATAACAATGGTCACAAAGAATAAAATTAATTTACACACAGTTCATTGTAACATGATTATTACAACAAAAGATGTCGTAATGGCATTTGAAAATAGAAATGGATGAATGTTTACTGTGTGGGGAGGCTGAAAGAAGTGGATGCTGTAGAATTAGTGTTCAATTAATACCATCCAAAGGTACAAGACTGTATTAAGTGGAAATAAAATTCCAGTAGAGGGGTTATTTTAAAAAGGATTGAAAATAATTCTCTAGGTTTTCCTATGACTACTAAGTATCCCATAAGATCAATCCTTACCTCTAATTCTCTATTAATCAAGCAGTCTTCTAATATATATGTAATGTATTCTTCTATTCAGCAGAAGTGTGTGATCCAGATAGACAATACTCATTTGTCAAACTGCCAGCTATACTTCCCATGATTAATAAATGACATGGCATTTGTGCTTATAAATTTATACTTCTAAAATTTGGTTAATGTCAATGAGTCCTGCAGCACTTGACAAATTTGGCTAAAACTGGAGCATGCTGTCTCCATAAAGATATAACTACCCCATGAATACTATGCAAAACAGTATACATATACCTCAGTTTCCAATAGTAGATTGATTAGAAAAATAATGACCTGAGTTTTAGGGGCGAAGAGCTTAAAATGTCATTATTCAATCTGGAAAATATTTTTGAGTTTATTTTAAGCATCTATAGAATGATGTAATTGTATTTTACATTTCAGACTGTAAAATCCAGGGCAAAATGTAATGTTGATGATAATAATAACAATAACAATAACATCAGTTTATATTATTGAGACTAATTAGTTCTTACAACTACCCTGTAATGCAGGTATTACTATTTCCCTTTTATGAACGAAGAAAGTGAGGCATAGAGAGAGGATCTGCCACAAAACATACAGTTCTAAAGTGTAAGAATTAATATTTAAACTCAGGGTAGTCTGAAATTAAAATTCATGGTTTCAACCACTATAGTATACTTGGTATACTACATATTCATAAAATACCTAGAGTAATAAAGGAGGAAATGATAATTTTGTGCATACAGCTATGTGGCTTAATTCATATTAGCCATCTTATTCCTATATTTAGGATTCTAAGCACTAAGATTTAAATGTAAATGTGCTTATTTGGTGTCACATCACCCAAAATACAAATATAAACCACTTCAACATTGTGATAGGTGATTGCTATGGGTACAACCTTATTTTAGTGTTTCAAACAATTCAAAAGCTTCAATAATAGCTATGGAAACACTAACAAATGACTATTAATATTCACAATGATATCTTGAAATTCTGTATCATATATATAACTCAAGATTAGGAAAATTCAATAAAAATACGAAAGAATTTTGGTAAAACTTACTTTGCAATCTCCGTGTTGGGCTCTCTCCATGGAGTTGTCTTCGTGGCATATATGGAGAAGGGTGGGGGAGTGGCAATGAAGAGACATCATGCGTCTGAAGTTTGTACCAATGTGGCTCATCATCTAATAATGCTGTTTCTAATTCAATTAAAATCTACAAACCCAAGAGACAAAGGACAGTTATAATATACCAATAATAAAGAAATTATGTTAAATGGTCCTGCAACTTTTGTAGTAATAATTACAATAGTAATGCTATTACATGAAAAACAAGGTCATTTAGACGTTGTAAAATTGTCAGTATGCTTTTGACAATAAATAAACTTTTATAACTTCTTAGTGATTTAACAGTTTTAAATATCTAAGACATTTATTTTTTTGACCCTTGACTACCCATTACTAGAGGCTATCAAATTTACCGTTACAAAAGTAACAGTTTTCATTTTAAATGACTGTAATAATAACTAATATTTGTATATCATTTTAGAATTTTAAAAGCGTTTTTATTTAGAGTCAACCTAAACCCCCCTCAGTGATGACTGAGTAAAGAAAATATGGTACATACACACCACGGAATACTAAACAACCATAAAATAGAACAAGATCATGTCCTTTGCAGGGACATGGATGGAGCAGGAGGCCATCATCCTTAGCAAACTAACGCATGAACAGAAAACCAAATACCACGCATTCTCACTTTTAAGTGGGAGCTAAATGATGAGAACACATGGACCCACAGAGGCAAATAATACATACTGGGGCCTATCGGAGGGTAGAGGGTAGGAGGAGGGAGAGTATCAGGAAAAATACTAATTGGTACTAGGCTTAATACCTCGGTAATGAAATAATCTGCACAACAAACCCCATTAAACATGTTTACCTATGTAACAAACCTCCACATGTATCCCTGAATTTAAAAGTTAAAAAAAATTAACTTTTATAAGAACTTTTAAATGGGAAGAGAAAAACAAATTTGAAGTGCCTACTGTGTATTAAGAACCGTGCCATATTATCTGCCATAATTATTTTAAAAATTACTAGCTTTGTCTTATTGTTTAATTTTCATAAGCAAAAATACCAAGGCTAACAAAGGTTAAAAGAACTTATCTAAGGTCACACCAGCTTTTAAGTGAAAGAGGTGTAAACTGAATCAGCCTGTCTAATTTAAAATTCTGAATTTATCATACCATCCTGCTAAAGATTTAAAACAAGAAAAGAAAAAAACAAGAATGGATTTTAAACATGAACTATATTACAATACAAATTTTATAACACGAATTTTTAAAAATTTACCCAAAATACAAGTCTGTAGAAATTAATGTCTACTTTTTTTAGGAGGTTGTGCAAGTGACAGTGTTTGTGCTTTGTGTTTACAAGAATGGCCACATAAAGATATATTACTATTTACCTAAGGGAGGTAAAGAAGCAACACAGCCAAGTTAATATTTCATTCTTTCTTTTTTGTTTTTGAGACAGGGTCTTGCTCTGTCACCCAGGATGGGGTGCAGGGGTGCACTCATAGCTAACTGCAGCCTCAAATTCCTGGGGTAAGGCAATTCTCCCACCTCAGCCTCCTGAGTAGCTACGACTACTGTATGCACCACCATGCCTAGTTAATTTCTTTTTTTATTTTTATTTTTTAAACATGGGGGTCTTGCTATGTTACCTAGGCTGGTCTTGGACTCCTGGTCTCAAGCTATCCCCGTCTCCACTTACCAAAGGATTGGTATTACAAGTGTGAGCCACCATGCCTGGAGTTATTTCACTCTTTCTAAATTTTCCCTAGTCATTTTCAAAATTATAGGTATTGTGTTCCAAAGTATTACAAACACACAATACAACACACTTATTTCTCATATTAACCCTGAGTTGCATAAAGTATTATTCCCACTTGGTTGAAGAACAAACTGAAGCACAGATGGGTCAAATAACTTGTTCAAAGACCCAAGCTAAGAAGTGGTAGTGCCAGGAATATAAACCCAGTCAGTTAGCTCCAGAATCTCTGCTGCTAACAACTGTGTGACGCTTCTTCCCAAAGGTCACACAAGGGATTTTAGTTTAGTTTAGCTTTTTTTTTTTTTTGAGATGGAGTCTTGCTCTGTCGCCCAGACTGGAGTGCAGTGGCATGATCTTGGCTCACTGCAAGCTCTGCCTCCCGGGCTCAAGCGATTCTCTTGCCTCAGACTCCTGAGTAGTTGGAATTACAGGAGCCCACCACCGTGCCCAGCTAATTTTTGTATTTTTGGTAGAGATGGGGTTTTGCCACATTGGCCAGGCTGGTCTCGAACTCCTGACCTCAGGTGATCTCCCGCCGCTTGGCCTCCCAAAGTGCTGGGAATACAGAAGCATTTTTAGTTTACCACTCTTTGGTTCCTCAGCTGACAACACTCACTTCAATATTTCTATAGACTTGTTTTTCCCATGAGATTACCATTTAATTTACTCAGAAACAAACAAACAAACAAACAAACAAAAACAACAAAAAACTGATATAGTTTGGCTGTGTTCCCACCCAAATCTCATCTTGAATTTTAACTCCCACAATACCCTTGTGTCATGAGAGAGACCCAGTGGGAGGTAATTGAATAATGAAGGTGGGTCTTTCTCATGCTGTTCTCCTCATAATGAATAAATCTCGCAAGATCTAATTGTTTTATAAAGAGTTCTCCTGCACAAGTTCTCTCTTTGCCTGCTTCCATCCATGTTAAGACATGACTTGCTCTTCCTTGCCTTCCACCATGATTGTGAGGCCTCCCCAGTCATGTGGAACTATAAGTCCATTAAAACTCTTCTTCTTCCCAGTCTCGAGTATGTCTTTATCAGCAGCATGAAAACGAACTAATACAGTAAATTGATACCAGTAGAGTGAGACACTGCTGAAAAGATACCTGAAAATGTGGAAGTGCTTTGGAACTAAGTAATGGACAGGGGTTGGAACAGTTTGGAGGGCTCAGAAGAAGACGGGAAAATGTGGGAAAGTTTGGAACTTCCTAGAGACTTGTTGAATGACTTTGCCCAAAATGCTGATAGCTATATGGACAATAAAGTCTACGCTGAGGTAGTCTCATATGGAAAGGAGGAATTTTTTTGGGAACTGCAGCAAAGGTGATTCTTATTATGTTTTAGCAAAGAGACTGGTGGCATTTTATCCCTGCCCCAGAGATTTGTGGAACTTTGAACTTGAGGGAGATGATTTAGGCTATCTGGTGGAACAAATGTTGAAGCAGCAAAGCATTCAAGAGGTGACTTGGGTTCTGTTAAAGGCATTTCGTTTTATAAGGGAAGCACAGCATAAAAGTTTGGAAAACTTGTATCCTGACAATATGATAGAAAAGAAAATATCATTTTCTGAGGAAGCTGCAGAAATTTGCATAAGTAACGAGGGGCCAAATGTTAATCGCCTATGTGCAATGGGGAAAATGTCTCCAGGGCAATTCAGAGGTCTTCATAGCAGCCCCTCCCATCACAGGCCTGGAGCCCTAGGAGGAAGAAATGGTTTTGTGGGCCAGGCCCAGGGTCCCCATGCTGTGACACCAAGTCCATAGACTGCATCCCAGCTGCTTCAGCTGTGACAAAAAGGAGCCAAGCTACAGCTTGGGCCACTGCTTCAGAGGGTGCAAGCCCAAGCCTTGGCAGCTTCCACATGGTGATGAGCCTGCAGGTGTACAGAAGTCAAGAATTGAGATTTGGGAACCTCTGCTTAGATTTCAGAGGATGTATGGAAATGCCTGGATGTCCAGGTAAAAGTTTGTTGCAGGGGTGGGACTCTCATGAAGAACCTCTGCTAGGGCAGTGCAGAAGGGAAATGTGGGGTCAGAGCCCAAATACAGAGTCCCTACTGGGGCACGGCCTAGTGGAGCTGTGAGAAGATGGCCACCAACCAGAATGGTAGATCCACCTATAGCTTGCACTGTGCACCTGGAAAACCCACAGACACTCAATGGCAGCCCATGAAAACAGCCAGAAGGGAGGCTATACCCTGCAAAGCCACAGGGGCAGAGTTGCCCAAGATCATGGGAACCCACCTCTTGCATCAGTATGACCTGGATGTGAGACATGGAGTCAAAGGAGATTATTTTAGAGCTTTAAGATTTGATAGTATCACTGGATTTCAGACTTGCATGAGGCTTTGTTTTGGGCAATTTCTCCCATTTGGAATGGCTGTATTTACCCAATGCCTGTACCCCCATTGTACCTAGGGAGTAACTAACTTGCTTTTGATTATATAGTCTCATAGGCAGAAGGGACTTACCTAGTCTCAGATGAGACTTTAGACTTTGGACTCTGGACTTTTGAGTTAATTCTGAGTTAAGACTTTGGAGACTATTGGGAAGGCATGATTGGTTTTGAAATGTGATGACGTGAGATTTGGGAGGGGACAGATGGAATGATATGGTTTGGCTGTGTCTCCACCCAAATTTCCTCTTGAATTGTAACTTCCACAATTTCCATGTGCCGTGGGAAGGACCCAGTGGGAGGTAATCAAATAATGTGGGTGGGACTTTCTGATGCTGTTCTCCTCATAGTGAATAAATCTCACGAGATCTGACGGTTTTATAAAGAGGAGTTCCCCTGCACAATCTCTCTCTTTGCCTGCCACCATCCATGTAAGACGTGACTTGCTCCTCCTTGCCTTCTGCCATGTGGACTCTAAGTACATTAAATCCCTTTTTCTTCTCAGTCTCGGGTATGTCTTTATCAGCAGCGTGAAAATGAACTAATATACCAACCACATTGAAAAAGGCTGAAAGTGAGTAACTTAACATGCTAATAGCTGGATAATTGCTTTCCCATCTTGCCTTCTTCAATCATTCTCGACATTACAGTTGGAAATACTTTTCTCAAGTACAGTCAAACCATTTTCTTTTTAAAGAAAATATGAGACTGGGCAAGATGACGAGAACTCATTCCTACAAAAAAAATAAAATTAGCTGGGCATGGTGGTGGGTGCCTGTAGTCCCAGCTACTTGGGAAGCTGAGGCAGAAGAATTACTTGAGCCCAAGAGCTTGAGGCAGCAGTGAGCTATGACTGTGCCACTGTGACAAAGCAAGACTCCACAGAGATGGAAAAGAGAGAATTGGTTATTGGTTATTGGTTCCTATTATCGACCAGATAAATCCAAATTTGTTTATATATTAAGTGACATGCCCAGGTCTCAGTTCCCTTCCAATTTCAGTGCAATTGACCAATATCTCCTCACCCTGATGTCTTCTTATTCCCTCTGCAGGAATTTCACTCCCCTTGAATTTGCTAAATTCCTCTCTCTGTGAAGACTTGCTTTGACCACCTGCCCTCCTCTGCACAGCAATTATGTATTCCTATTGCATTTTCCCCTCCATATCAATTGGCATGTTATATTCTAATTGCTATTCATGTGTCTGTATCACCAATGAATTGTAAATTCCTTGAAGTAAGTAACACTCCTTATTTACCTTTGAAGGCTCAATCTATAGCACAGTGCCTGTTACATTGTAGGGCTTGAAAATAATCTATAAATAAATGGGTTAACTGCTTATTAGTGGTACAGTCTGTTCAGTAAACTACCAAAATATATACATATCACTATAAAACAAAGCAATATATTTGTGAAATACAAATCTTTTATCATTCAATACTGAGAGTTCTAAAATAAGAAATGACATGTAAAAACCATCAGAATATGTACAACCACTGTTTTCTATAGTTTCAAGTTTTGTCCTAAAGCAGCAGCTGAAATACATTCCATTAAAGAAATTGTGCCTACCTTTGCAGATATTCTACATATAAAATTATACTGACAGTTATATAAATAAAAGCATTCAGGATAACACGAATAGCATAAACTTTAAAACAACTCCAGATACCTCGCCTAAGAATTCACTTTCTTCCTCTCGAACTCGAGCTTGATCCCAAAGGGTAATCTCTAGCATTCGTTCCCGAAATTCTCTTCGGTGGACTGGAGAATAAATGAATGTTTGGTTCCATTTGGGTTCCAATGTTTTCTTTACTGTTTTAGTTCTTCTCTTATTTTTATCACTATGGAAAAAAACCAACAAATTATGAACTTACATAGAACCACAAGTTTTATCCTAAAATTTTTTAATTTAAAATTTCTCAGTAAACAAGTTAGGTGACATTTTACCATCAAATTATCATACATTGCAAGTGTTATAACCTTTAAAATTATTATGAAAAATTTAAGGTGTATACTATATCACACTTTATAGATATGACAATAATGGCGAAGTTACAATAAATGTTAAATTTTTTCCATGACAAATTATTGAAAACTTAATCTTTCTCAAAATCTAAATAAAACCAGACCTGAGAATCTTAACTCAATAATTTTTTAACACATTGCCTTACTGAAAACCTTCTAAATGATAATTAACCAGTAACATTACATATATTATTCATTTAAACTACAGAAGTCTCATTGTACAAAAAGATGAGTAAATTATGATATTCACAACTTCTTATCTACAAAGTTCTAGCTAATGACCAATTATAATCTATTTTTTATAAAGATCCTTTTTTAAATATAAGAAATTCATATTTATTTGACATATATTTGGTATTTTAAAACATTGTAAATTTATTTCTATGTGAGGTAGTCACCACAACGTGAGTTGAAAATGCAAGATAACCATCCCAATAAATGAGATTGCCAGTTCAAAGGTTTTCATGTTCTTTTTGGTTGTATGTCTCTGTACGTGTGTCACCATATTGTTATACTAACATATTGTCCATATTGGAAAATAGACCAAAACAGAAACTAAAAATAATAAAATAAAAATTTTTAAACATTCAAATATTTCTTCCTGACTATGAAAGGATTATCCTGTACATCACCTAGGGTACATCCAACCTATTTGGAGATCATTAATCTTGCTTATTAGACAGGATCACTGGCTGGATAGGAATACAATTTTCTAGGAAATACAATTTAAGCTACCTAAGAGAACTATCTAAAATGACAGACAAGCTCCAGTTAGAACAGTATCAACTGCTACAAATTATCTCAGCACAACACAGTCCCAAGAGTTTTGGGAAACAGGGAGGAGAGAGAACTAAGAAGGGGTAGAATTGTCTCTGAAATTGGGAAGTAATGCAACTTCTTCTCATTGGAATTTTAAGTTTAATATAGATTTTACTTGAATGATGAAGAGGTATTATATGTTTCCAAAGCACACATATATAATGTGGCAGAAAGATGACTTTAAATATACAAATTGTTAATGAATTTTGTTAATACACATGGACAAGATAACATGCAATGTAGCTTTATTAACCATGAAGGCATTGGCAGAAAAATGACATTGCAAACCCATGTAGGAGATTTTATTTCTATACCTGGAAAGAAGTGATAATGTGTATGGGAATAACTTATCTGAAACAAGGACTGTAATGTATGATCCTTCTCTCCCTCCCTTTGCTTACAGCTTTAACAAATATTTATTTAACATCTACTCATATTTCATTGATGAAGAATGAATTTTGAGACCCTGTCAAGAGATAAAGGTCCTTCCAAGAAGGCCAGGATGAAAGTATTTAATGGGAGCCTTGCTATCTAATTCAAGAATGGTTTATATCTGGCCAGGCGCAGTAGCTCACGCTTGTAATCCCAGCACTTCGGGAGGCCAAGGCAGGTGGATCACGAGGTCAAGAGATCGAGATCATCCTGGCCAACATGGTGAAACCCCGTCTCTACTAAAAATACAAAAAATTAGCTGGGCATGGTAGCAGGCACCTGTCATCCCAGCTACTAGGGAGGCTGAGTCAGGAGAATTGCTTGAACCCGGGAAGTGGAGGTTGCAGTGAGCCGAGATCGTGCCTTTGCACTCCAGCCTGGGCAAAAAGAGCAAAACTCTGTCTCAAAAACAAACAAACAAACAAAAATGGTTTCTATCAAAATCTGAAAGGAAAAAGAAGAGGAAGTCATGAACTTCCTCTTAAGGACAGAAAAATGTTCTCAGATAAAGAATGAAAATTTTAGACAGGATTTCTATGTTGAATAGGAAGAGGAATAGACAATCTCTGAAGTTTCTTATAAACCTAACATATATGATTACAATTTAATAAGGCAATTTGGTACATACCCAAGCACCAATTCACAAAAAGAACCATTAAAAATAACCTTATCTTCAGCAAGTTAAAAAAAAATGAGTTTTACTTTCTCTAGAAGTATACATAAAGCCTTTAGAATCAAAGCATACTGCATAAGTCAAACACTGAGAAGGTGCGAAAGATATTTAAACACTAAGATCAACAAGCATGCTATAGACATCATTTTAAAATAAAAGCCTAATTATAATAAAATAAATAATTGATCTTTTAATGAATCATCAAATTGCTGAGAAGGTAGTTAATTTTTAAAAACAATAAAATCCAATCTAAATCTTTTTAAAAATTTATTTTCATGTTACTAGAACTTTGGTTTCCATTAAATGTAATTCAGTAACAGCATGCAAACACTTGATGTTTTTACTTAAAATTAGAAGAAGAAATATATTTTAACTGGCGACTAACTTCAAGATATAAAAAGAGTATAAAACTTCAAAATATGTATCAAATAAAATGCAAAGCCTTTGTTCATTGTCTATTCTTTTGTCCTTTTCTTTGCTGAGATTGTTGTTCAGGTGACACTTTGGTACCGAACTCAACCTTGATGACTTTCTACTTGAACCAAATAACTAAATCAATGAGAATCCAAAAGTGTATAAACATGTTTAAGATCACATCTGTGCCTATCCACTTCCAACCTGAGAAAAAATAACGAAATCTTGAGAGCACTCTGCCGTGAGAGGCAGGGATGCAGACAGATAATTGGGGAAAAGTAACTGGTATCATTCCTTCTTTTTTTTTCATGATGCCTATGAATAGTCTCTTTTATTTTTTACGTGCCTGAAATTCAGAGTGTTTAGATTTGTTTTCAAATAAAGTATTTCTCCAATCAAATCAGGGTAGAACAAAAAGAAAAAAAATTAAGGGTAGAACAATACCATTTATATTGATTAGAATAAACACAAAACAAATAATGCTTGAGGAAGGTGATTCTGGGACTTGTGGTAAGTTTTCTTGATGATATAAGGTGATGAATACGAAACAACTTGTTAAATTTATAGAATAGAGAGAAATAATATCTTGGTAAGAGGAGGTAGAAATTGCAGAGAAATGAGTACTTTTTAGCAGTATTTTTAGCTTTTTGACTAAAAGAGCTAGTATTTTTGACTAAAAATTCTAGTATTTTAGCTTTTTGACTCTATAATTTGTGTTAAAAATTTGATTTTAGGAAGCATAACTTTTAATGATTTTGAATAATGAAAATATATATAAGAATACACACATGCCTAAAATTAATATTTAAAATCACATATACAACATTTAAGTTTTTAAAAATCTAATTTACTGTCACTATTTTGATTCCTAAGAACCATCACATTTATGTTAAACTTCACATATCTCACTAGTATGATACCAATAAATGATACAGAATTGAAATACTCATTGCTATTAACATTTCCTCATTTATTTTCCAGAACATTTATTTTTGTTTTATATCCTTACCTTCTGTCTGGAAGAAAGTAAATTTTAACATAAGGATTCCTTGGCCTCCCATCTTCCCTGGAAGGGAGATCCTTTGCTCCCAAAATTGTAACTATTAATTGGTGACCAACCTTGTCAAACCATAGTTTTATCTGAAAAGCAAAAATATTAATTTATCAATTCAAACATTTACTACACAAACACAATGTTTACCTTTCCAGTCTTCACCCCATTCTCTTACAGTATCATTAGCACAGAATATAAATTTTACTTAGTAAATTGTGGCTAGTTAAAAATAAAAGGATATACTATAATAACTTCAATGAATAAAAGAATGATTCAGACATTTCAGTTGACTGATCAAGCATGTGGGCTTTTTATTATCTTAATGTGATTGCTTATTAACATGTACATAATTACATTATCATAATTAAGGACTTTATATAAAATGACTGATCTGTATCTTTACTTATGCAAGAATCACTAGTTCATTTTGGTTCCCCTACAAAAAAAACTGAGTTCAGAATAAGTGCTCAAAATGAATTGAGTAGATAATATCCTGTTTATATAACATTCACAGGGAATTTTCAAGTAAATATTTTATGTTGTTTCATAGTTAAAAACATTTAAAATATTATAAGCAAAAGGGATTTACTAGTAGCTTTAGTCAATAGATTCCTTCAGTTTGAACTTAAAATGATAATGAATTCATCTTTAAAATTTTTCCTTATTCAGACATTAAGTCTCATTCTTTTGTGAAGTTGATGAATAATATCCTTAGGATAATAAGAGTACATTTTATTATTTGAGATAGAAAATGAGAACAATTTCCCTGTGCCATAATTAGGGAAGGGAACTTCATATCCAACTGCTGAATTCACTTGATTTAACAGTTACCTCCCACACACATACCTCACACTTGCACACCTAGCTGTCTGATTCTACTATGTCAGGATCTATGATAATTATGGCTCTGATCCACATCTTGGCCCAGAACTCAGCACATATCTAACCACTATGTTGAAACTGAAATGGAACCAAAATTTGGCACTTGAGAATAACAGTTACAAATCAGTACTGGTTATACATGAAACACTGGCAATTCAATTCCAATTCCAACATAGCTTTGTTGAGTCCCTCACTTCATATTCTAGAGAATGAGACACTGAGCAACTTTTGAGTCAGAAAAGGTAAACTGACAGTCCAAAAAAGTATATAAAATTATTTTCATCTTTTTTTTTCCCAAATGGAATCAGCCCTTTTATAGGAATAAGAGTAAGAAATATCCAACTTGTTTAAATTATAGTTATCAATTTTTATGTTTTTACATTTAATGCAGGTATTATCTTGCTATTGAATAACAAGAAATTTTTCTAATGGAGCTGCAAAGTACAAAAATAGACCCTAGACAAGTATTTCTTACGTTGGGCTAATAAACTTTCCGTGTCAGTATTATCTCACTTATTTATTAAAAAGTTACAAATTCTTGGGCCCACCTCTCGCCTACTGAATCAGAACAAGGCCCTGGAAGTTAGATTTTAACAAGTTCCTAGGTGATCCTCAAGTGCATTAAAATTTGAGAACCACTGCCTTACATTAAGAGATTAACAACTTGAAGAAAAAAGTCTCCAATATATGAAAAGAAAACAGTTCAAATATTTGCTTTTCTAATAATATTAGAATATAGATACAGATAAGAAAAAGGGGCCAAAAGGAGACTATTCTTCTGGCAAAAGATATGAGTGAAAAAGAGAGAAATGCAGGACTGTCTGATTGTATATGAGATCAAAGAGGTGTTATAGATAGTACCATAAATGTGTGACAAAAACCCAACTGATTTCTATGGTATTCTCTATTTTCATCAGTTTTAAAGAGTTTATGGCTTCATTTTTTCTAAGACATTAAAAAGCTTTCTCTGAGGTTCATGACATGAATATTAAGCACCTCAAAGGGAAAAAAAAAAGATTCTGTAAGGTTAAAAAGATTTATTTCCAATAAATGTTACATTTAAGAAACAATAATTATTATGAGACTAAGCTAAAAATTATTAGAGCAAATTATTGATTTCTATGAGAACCTTTTGGGGGGTTAAACTAAGTACTTGTTGCCATCTCCACCAGCAATATTTTTTCTCCTTTAAAATCATTAAAACTAGCATTTGAGATATATATTTCAAAAGTCTGATAGAGTATTCTTTTCAGATTTCCTTATGCCATGGAAAACCAAAACATTATCAGTTACTAATATTGTCCATTTCTCATACAGAGTAAACCATATGGCTTATTTTTGGTATAATATTTTAGAGTTTACTAAATTATAAATTACAAATGTACAAATATTAAAATAATTTAAACAGCAAATAGGCACATTTTAACTTTACTAATTATTTGACCAAAATTATACCTTTTAATAGACTGCTTTAAACTGAGTATTTGAATATAGCCCTAATTTTTATTTATATTATAGGACTTGCATTGAAGTTTTTAATAGATATCCAGTTCACATAATCGAAACAGATTTTATTAGGTACATCACTTTATAACATTCTTAATTTCTTATCTGTGCTTTTTAAATAAGTATTTAAAATATAGCTGTTGATTCCCCCAAATATAACAAACATATCTTCACAAATCTGGTCCTGACATAGTTCCTGTTCAGCCCCAATTTCATTAATAAAAATATTAGTATAATTTAAATTGTTTTAAAATATTTCTCATTCCAGCTTTAGCATGTAACTATTTTTAATTTTCCTAAGTAGGACCTAAGCAGCATAGGTAAATATTTTATATTGTATAATATTAACAAGAATAATTTAATTTTAAAAATTTAAACAAAATAAGTATTACTCAGAAGCAACAAATTTTTAAAAAACAACATGCAGCAAAGCCAGGAAAGCATAATACTACTTAAAAAAAACTATATTGCCATTACTTTACCATATAAGGGGTTCCTAATGAAAAGAGGCAAACAACTTGTACCCAAGTATTACATAAAATTAAATAAAACTACAATGGCAAAATATTAACAAAATAAATCCAACTTATTTTATTTGGATTATAATTTTGTTCTTTCAAAGTAAAATACTTTCCAAAAAATGAACATTATATATAATATGCATAAAATTCATATTTTAAATAAGGTACAAATTTATTTGCCAGTCTCCTCAAGGAGTTATTACTTGGAAAATGCAAGAGAATATAGATGTTAAGTGACATAATGAGTGATTTAAAGAGACAGCAACCTTAGTGTAACAAAGGAAAGTATCAACAGTATAAAATTAGCTATTTCTGTAAATGTCATATATATAAGTAGAATCTACATTAAATACCACTTTGAAATCTATAAGGTTTAGTATTTAGTTTATCATATAAAATCACTAACAAAGATTGTCTCTTTAAATTTTTATTCAATATTCTAATCCCCATGCAAATTTTTACAAGCTGGCTAATAAAATGATTTGAAAGTCAATAATATGGTTTGGAGCAACATACCAAAAAAAGTTTTCCTACTAACGCATTTTCCAAAAACATACAAATAAGGGTTAAACACAACTTTAGTTTCTATCAGGCAGACAAGGCCTTTACCTGAACCCTAGGAACAAAAGGCGTTGTTCTTCTACTAAGGCTTTGGCTCTGGTAAGCAAAATTAAAGAAAAAAGCAATAAAACAAAACCAAAAAGGACAACACACTGGAACTAAAAGACCAAAAGTAAAAACAAACACATACAACTATCCCTTAAATACAATTTTTCCATGACAATATTTATCGAAATTAAGTACTTCAGTGCAATGAATAAATTAATTTTGTCCAATGCCAAAATACATCAAAAACTATATAAAATACTAGAATTTGTATAATCAAATTTTTCAAATGTAGTTCACAAAACAAGAATTAAGACTGGATATAAAATAGTATATTTGGGCTCATGTATTTTGAAAGAATGATTAAAAGCATAACCCAAGAATCAATAAATTTCATATTTTATCCTTAAACATACTACACGGAAAATAGGACAGTGTTAAAAGAAGTTAGTTGAAAATGTATTACAGAGTTATTAGTGAAAACCCATCTGTGGAAGTAATTGTGTGACTTCTCCAAAGTATGTCTACCCAAAGTCCAAAAACTACTAGCCAAGTTGGCTTTAGAATTTCTTAAAAGAATAAACACATTAAAATAAAAGTGTGCAGAAATGCATTGGATTAATTACTTGATTCATACTTGATGAATCCCTATCAGGTTCTAGTACTGAAACACCATCATCAGACATTTATTATGTACCACTTAAGGTAATACTGTTTATTGCTAATCACACCTATTAATGACAATATCGTATCTCTTTTTGCTTATACAGTTTGTTGTACTTTTTCAAGGCTTTATTGACAGTTTATTGTAAGTTTATTGCCTCATGGTATTTCCAACAACCTTATGAGGTAGTTGCTTCTACTCACAATTTGTAGGTGAGGAAACACAGAAAAGGGCTAGACACACTTGCCCATACTCAAACAAAAAGCAAGGTAGTGTAAAGACAGAAAATAGAACCCAGTTCTAATTAAATCACTAAATCAAATTCTCAGAATCAAATCAAATTTCCTTTCTCTTACTGACTTTTGTTTTCATTTTGAAAGTTTCCAAAAGACACCACAATAATCAGAATGTTGTGCCTTTATTAGGCATTCCAAGAGCTAAATCAGAACATGATCAGGTTTGGGAATGGATTTCAAGGCATTTAATTCTGTTTCTATCACCAAGATTCCATCCCATTCCTCACATTTCTTATGGATGTCTCTCTTGTTTACTTCAAAGTCATAAATAGTTAAAGGCTTCTCTCTTTCCACTGATAACTGGAAACAGATAATGAGTACTAAGAGTACTTTTTCTCAGTCCAGTTGGCATTGATCAGACACGTTTATTTAAGACATAAATCTAAAACCCAAAGGAAAGCAGACTTAAAAGCAGACTGTCATTCAATCATGAGTCATCTTTCTCTCTCTCTCAATCTCTCTCTCTCTCTTTCTCTCTGTCTGTCTCTTTCAAAACCAAGGCAGTTTCAAATCTAAGCTGTCTTCTTTTTTATGTGGAAATATTCCCAAAGGAAGAAAGAAATATTCAGATGTGGAGTGTGTTACTGATGTCTGTCGGTATAACCACAGGCTATTATAATGCTTTAGCAAATGACAGAGGGCATATACGAAATTCATAGAGAAATTTGGCATGCTGAAGAAAGGGACTAAACAAGGTACTTTAGAAATACATTTTATTTCCCCTGTCCTCCTACCTGTTTTGTTTTAGACCAAAAATATTAAGGTTACAGAATATTTTTACAAGTAAATATTACATCATAAAATAAAATTCCCTTTAAAAGAAATAATACTTTCAAATAAATGAATCCTTTAAAGCAAACATTTTTCCATGTTCTAAAATGAACTCATACATGCATCTCACAGACTTCTGAAATCAACCTTCTGAAACCTATGGCAATTTACACCTAATCTTTACCCATGAGTTTATATTTTAAATATGGCTATAAAAATATATTTTTGTGTTGACAATATTTTTTAAATTAACGTAAAATTCACCAGACATACAACTGACTATTTTAAAGTATACAATTCAGTGGCAAATACTGTGTTCAGAATTCTGTGGAATTACCACCTCCTTCCAGTTTCAAAATATTTTCATCATCTCAGAACACTCTGTACTTTACATAATCACTCCCTACTTTTCCATCTCGCTGTCCATTAGTAACCACTGCTTTCTGTCTCTATGGATATTTCAGATAGGGATGGCAAACACTATGTGTCTCACTGTAATTTGTAATTACTATTAATTCATTTATTGTAAGCATGAGAGACCTGATGATATCTATAACAATTCAGGCTTCATACAAATGAAGAATTTGAATTTGTACACCACAATTCATTTTGCATTTTTAATATCACTTTCCACTATTAATTGCACTAGTATCTTTAGAACATTCTTTTCATACAATACTTTCAGAATAACAAAGTCATAACAATGAAGTGTAACAGATAAAAGCTCAAAAAAAACCTTTCATTTATAGAAAGTTTTAAAAAGGCTATGGAGTTTCCAGGGAGATAGAAAGGACATATACCGCTCCTTAAATTATGTATTTCTTTCAAATGGGCATATAAAATGGATATTTGTAATATTTACTTAAAATGGAGTCAAAAGATATTTTTTAAAGTAATTTGGAAAAACACTGCAACCATAAATCAACCACAGATCATGAAGTGAATGAAATAAAATATGATTATCAGTAGTATCAATTGTGTAATATGTTCCCACGGAAAGAGAATTCTGAGCCTTTTCTCACTTTGAAAAAAATTGAAAGCTATATTTTCTTTTAACGCCCTATTATCAAAATAGTCAAAGACTATAAACTAATTGAAACTATTAAGAACTACAAAGGTAATCAACTGAAGGAGAAAAACTGCCAAATTCTGGAAGAACACATATTAAAAATAGGGTCCTAATAAGGGAGTGCTGTCAGTGAAAATGCTAACATACAGCCTACATGGCATAAACCTGAATTCATGCTGATTTTCTTCACCAAATACATTAATAGCATTTTCACTGCTATGCCCGAGAATAATAAACAGCAGGACAATTCAAAAATGGAGAGAAAATAAATTACATACATTTAAAAAAATCAACAGCCTTGAGCATGAAAATGTAAACAACAAATTTACAATATTTTTTTTTATAATCATCTCCTTTGAGAATGATATTATATGTATATATTTTCTATTTGAGACATGAACTGACAGAATATTAGGAAGGCCAACTCACATACTATAAAAATTATCATTGTTCTCAGGCATTAGCAATATCATAATTTTGTAAGTGAAGTACGGGCCCAAGTAAAAACTAACCAAAAGCAAAAATGTCCAAAGGTAGAAAAGAAGGAAAAAGGAATTGTAATGTTGGTTTATGACTTCCTAGTTTTCCTTAGGGTTGATATATGTAGATATATTTTTCCAACCTCTACATCATTAGAGCAAACCAAAATTATCTCCAGGCTGATAGAGACAGGATTAAATATAAAGGGAATTATTATATCTCAGATAGCATCTTAGTTATATTTTCCTGGATGCAAAAATATAAGAATAAAATTCATAAGTTACATGAAGGTAAAAACTTGTATTCGCAGTGACTAGTACTATACCTGATGTGGGGGTCAGAACTTAACACAGATTTCATAAGTAGATGATTGGAGTTTAATTAGGTAAAATCATTTCTGAAGGAAAAATTTGAAAATAGATTTCAAGAGTCCTAAAATTTTCCTTTGCCTTTTATATTGTAATTTTATTTCTGGAAAGTTATTCTGACAATAGAATTTTGTCCTAACAAAAATATTCAAGATTTATATTCAAGGATTTCCACAGTATCATTATTCATAAAAATTGGTTAGAAACAAGCAAGGTACCCTAAAATAGTGATTTAGGTTACAATGAAGTATTAAAATGGCCATTAAAACAATTTTAAGAGGAATTTTTAAAGACAGGAAAAAGTCCACAATATTACTAAGAGAAAAATCAGGATTCAAAATAGTATTTTTTTTTCAGTTTTGTTTAAAAATTTATATGTAGTGAATGGTTATATTTCAGTGTCAGGATTATAGGTGATTTTTACATCTTATTAATTTTCTGTGCTTTCCAGATTTCCCACAATAAATGTGCAGTATATTTATAACCAACATTTTTTATATATAGGGTGGGGTATGGGTATATGTGTGAACAATTTCAAAACATATACAGCTAAAAGTTTTACTAATAATATCATACTGGAACATATTCCTTGCAAGTCATAAGAAAAGGAGAAAATAGTACACATTTTAAATTACAAAATCACTTATAAATCTAAATACTATAACTTTACATTGTTACACATAAATTTAGAAGTGAAACTTTTAAGTTTATATTTCCCCCAAATATTTAACAGTTGTACCTTTTACTATATTAATTTTGAACCATGAAGAAAAATAGTTGAATTTGAAATTTGTCTAAATCCCTGAACTATGCTTCTCGTCCTCCCTTCCTAGTCCAATCTGTAGTAAGACCTTGGGATTCAAATGAGAAAACAAAGTGATACTTACTTATTATAGAAAATCTAACTTCCACTCCTTCTTTACGAACTCAAGCAAACTATACATACACACAGACACAGACAGACAGACACACACACACACACCCCCCCCACAAACACAGTTTTATTTATGGACTGGGATCATCCAGCCTCAAAAACATTATTTAAGGATGAACTATTGAAATGGATCCATAATAACAAACAACATTTATTAGCATTTTATAGCATAGTAGAAGAAAACATACATTTGTAACTATAAATGACAACATGTGCTGTCGATATATGTAAGAATAAGTAGAAAGATGCTACTTATTTTGCAGACTTGAAAAAAGACCACTAGCCTCAAATGAAAAAGTTCACTCTGTTTATGAAATAGAAAGGAAAAAAAATAGTAAGGGAAGAAATTTATTTTAGTGGAACATTTACAATCTCCTAATAGCATCACATATTCTTTCTTACATAACTTTTCTGTTATTGTCACCTTTATGGTCAAAATCATTCTAAAAAAGACATGTCTAATGACTTTTTTAATGACTGCAAATGAACTTTTTTCCTTTTTGCATATACTTCCTATAACTCCTTTTAATTAATGAAAATACTTCAGAAAAAACAAATACTACCCTTTCCCACCCTCCCCCCAAAAAATATCAAAGGAAAAATTTCATAGCTAATTTAACAAAAAGCTATCTTTTTCGGGCTTAAAATATCAGCCTCAAATAATTTAGTTTTTAAGTGTAACTTTTCGTTAATCCAAAATTCAATGTCTGAATTTTGACAACCTAAATATCTTTTTAATACTCGTGAAATTTCAAGTTTTGTAATCCCCAACAATACTGGTAATATTAACCTGTATTTTTCTAATGTATAAGAATAAATTTATTATGTTACTACTTTTAAATGGTTTAATAAGGGAATGACAACAGAACAAATTAATAAAAAGTAAAGACTTACATTTGTAAAGCTCCTCTGATATCAACACAATATAAAATGCATAAATGAATATTTAAGTTTTATTTTAAAATGTTCAAATCAGGGATCACTTAATGTGCAAAGTTATCTGAAGTATTCAGCAATCCATTATATATTTCTCTGTTTATTTCATTTTGTCTATTGACAAAAAAATCTCAAGTATCATTATATTTCATAGCAATATTGAACTCCAATGATGACTATAAACTGACACCAAAATCCTTAAAGTTGAAAAGCAGTGAAGAATTCATATTTACTTTTATCTGAAATATCATCTTTACATAGTGCAACATTTTTATTTCTCTTAAAAATCTATGACAAATTATAGTCATCTTAAGGTATAGGGCAAAAATTATGAACTTGAATTTTGTTATAATTACTAACATAAAAAAGAGTTTAGGTACCTTCACAAAATATAACTGTTATTAAATTCCAGAAAATCTAACTCTAATAAATGAAGCAGTATGATAAATAGTCAAAATTGGATTTCAAAAACTAAAAGAATGATAAAGTGGGAGGTTAAAAGCACAATTATGTTCTAGTAATAACTTGGTTTGTAAAAAACTAGCATCGTATTTTAAAAGCACTATTTGATATTCTGAAAAGGAGAGTAAATGTAATGACTACATACTGAAAGTTGTCCTGATAAGAACTGTGGAACATCCCTCAACATTCCAGGACTCATAGGAGAGGTAACAGAAATAGAAGGACGATCCATTTTTTGAGATTCAAATGAGCTAGAACCTGCAACGATAATTACACATAACAAAAAACAATGGCTCTTCACAGGTATTTAGTAAGTTTTGCCATATAACTTTTAAATTATTTATTTTTTTATGTCCACAAAATGTCATTATATAGGCCATTTTCTTAGACACAACATTGAAATATTCTTAAAGCGTTTTTTTTGGAAGCAAAAGTGCAGTATAGGGATTCTCTTAAGAGCAACAGTGAACCATTTTCTGTGCCAGTTATAGTAGAGACAGGCCTCTTCCTCAGGACTTAGTTACTATCTGTTAAGTGTACTATATTTATATCTTACGATGACATACTAAGAAAAATTTAAAAATAGAAACAAGGAATAATCAAAACATAAATCAATAAAGCAACTGAAAGACTACATTTGCAAATAATAAGAAAATAAGTACAAAATTATTAAATTTTTAAAATGATGTATAGAACAATATAACAAATTATACTGGTAGAAAGAAGTGAGGGGCATAAAAAAAGGAATAAAATATTAAACATTTATTGTCACTATTTTCATTCTTGGGGATAGGAATATTCCCTGTATGTCTGTCATGTTCTCTGGACAGAACATTGCTGATATTCATTGGGATTCAGAACACTGGGGAAGACCTGTTTTTTGTTTTTTTTTTGTTTTGTTTTTGAGATGGAGTCTAACTCTGTCACCCAGGCTGGAGTGCAGTGGCTGATCTTGGCTCACTGCAACCTCCGCCTCCCGGGTTCACGCCATTCTCCTGCCTCAGCCTCCCAAGTAGCTGGGACTACAGGCGCCCGCCAACACGCCCGGCTAATTTTTTGTATTTTTTTTTCTCGTAAAGATGGAGTTTCACTGTGTTAGCCAGGATGGTCTCGATCTCCTGACCTCGTGATCCACCTGCCTCGGCCTCCCAAAGTGCTGGGATTACAGGCGTGAGCCACTGCGCTTGGCCAGGAAGACCTGTGTTTAAGGGAATGGATGTATAAAAACTTAATTGGGAACACAGTGAACCTACAACACCTCTGAGACATCCAATGGGAGATGTAAAGCAGGTAAGTGGAAGTACAGATGGGACCAAATGTCCAAGTAGAGACTAGTGTTGGAAATTAACCTGTAGAGTTGTATGCCTAATTGGAAATGAAGGTAGATAAAACTCACCTCTAGAGAGAATACGGTGTAAAATGAAAGGGAAACTGCAAGGTTTAGGATTAGAAGTAACAGTGATACCTTTTATATTACTAGCAAGTAGGACGAATGAAACCTTTCTACTAAGAAAGAAGCCGGGTTTTGTTGTTGTTGTTGTTGTTGTTGTTGTCATTGTTGTTTTTACAATAAAGGTTGTTAAACTTCAGGCAGCAGAAGACACAACAGAATGTATTCTTTGAACATCCAGGCATGTAGGGACAATGATACCTCCTTTTGATAATGTAAACTTAGAAGTCATACAGCTGGCAATTACAACCATAAGAAGAAAAGAATTTATTGAGGAACCAGGAATAAGGATGGTTAAGGACAGGGCCTTGGAAAAACATCAATGTTTAAAGAATAAAAGATTGGATCTAATCTGAGAAAGGACCCCTGTCTCCTCAGAAGCTATTTTGGAATTATAGCCTAGGGTCTTTTTAAATAGCTAAAATAAGATAAAGGTTTCCATGTTGCTCATACAATATCTGAGAGATGTAATAAAGGTGAATAAAAATTTTAACCTACCCCATAGTATTGTTGTAAAAATTAAATGTGATGGTATAGGTACAACATCAAGCACAGTTATAAGTACTAAATAAAATGGGAGCAATAAGGATAATGATGATAATATCATTTTATAATAATTATAATTTGATTATTTATGTTACAGTTTTATGTGATCATGATATTCTTTTGGATAAAATCATTTAGCACATAGTCAAAGATACTAAATCAAATAAGTCATGGGACCATATTTTGAAGTATAGAGCTATGGCATTCAAAGGACTACTCTGATAAAGACTCTAAAGAAACTTGTAATTGTAAATATGAAAGTTAAAAAACATCTATTTTAATAGTGCATTCTCAATTATTGTGGTATATAGAGAATCTGACCACTTCTCACCATCCTCATTGCTACCACCGTGGTTTACGTCACCACTGTCTTGCCACTAGATTAGCCTTCTCACTAGTCTCTTTGCTTTTACCCTTGACTCTATTAATCTATTTGCAACCTAGTAGCCAGATTTTAACACTAAATATCTACTCAAAACCATCCTAGATAGCTCCCAATTTTCCTGAAAGTAAAAGCCAATGTCCTTACAGTGGGTTACACTGCCTATGCAATTTGCCCATTATTCCTCTATCCTCACTCATACCATTCTTCCTCTTGCTCATTCCATTCAGCTACACTGGCCTCCTTGAATTTCCTTAAATGCACCTTAGGCTTTCTTGCCATTGCATCCACACATCCTGTACCTGGAAAGATTTCCCCCCAGGCAGCCACTCCAAATGTTTCCTTCAATCCTTCCTTCTCAATGTGGTCTATCCTGATCAACATATTTCAAACTGCAATCCTTTTTTTCCTCTCTCTCAGTATCCCTTACTGTACTCTCAATCAATAAAGAAACTTACTTCATTGAAAAAAAATAATTTAACATCTGAAATACCACTAAAAATAATGTTTAAAATTATAGATAAATTTGACTTTAAACTTATGTATTTATTGTTCCACTACTCCTCTGATGTTAAATCAGAACTGTTATCCCACTTTCCAAAAACATAAATTAGAATAAATGTAATTATTCACCAGTTTATTCTAAGCATCTTCCCCTACTTAATGAGGATGAGGTTACAAATAGTAAGTTTTAAAACTAGGGGAAGTTTTGGGGGTGAATTTTTGGGAGCAGTGACTATGTTCATGATTTTTTGTTGGGATGATGGTTTCACAGGTATGTATGTATGTCAAAACTTACCTAATTGTGTACTTTAAGTATGTGCAGTTTATTGCAGTATACCTTAATCATGCTATCTAAAAATCTGTAATAAGACAATATGTTTAAAAAAAACTTAAAATATTCCACATTTTTGTATTTTTTCCCACAGTGACATGAAATAATACTAAATTTTCCATCTTTATATGCTTACATACTTGATAGTAAGGTTATCATATTTCTTACTTCACATTACTAGCTAAATACTTCATCTGACCTCTGATGAATGCAATTATAAATAACATTTTCTTCTAGAATAAATAAAACTTACTGGACTCCAGTTGTGCATGTGTGCTATCAGGTATTCTAGGTATATCTCTGAAATGATAAAAAGAAAAAGAAAGAAAAAAAAAGAGAAAGAAAGAGAAACTGTTTCAACAATTAATACAACTCATATTTTTTATCATTATCAACCTATTAATAGGACAGTGTAAAAAGAAGAAAACTGTGTATAATAGTGGTATTATATAAATAAGAAACAAGCCTTAGTACTTATTGCTCATAAAAGTATTCTGGGCCAACCTCAACTATTTAAAAGGAAATAAAATTCATATGCATCCATAGCATACTTTTAAAAACAGACTTTATTTTCTATGTGTCTCACTGCACAATTATCCATTATAAAAAATTTGTATTAAACAAGATAAGTTTTACAGATAGGTTTTTATTCTCTTCTGCTCTTTGGTTTTACCTGCTGTTCTAAATCAGTAACATTAAAGTACAAATAAAATATCACCAAAATAAAAAGTAAAATATTCATGTTGTGATTAAAACTTTCATTTTATTTTATTTTATTTATTTTTATTTATATTTATTTATTTATTTATTTATTTATTTATTTATTTATTTTTTTGAGACGGAGTCTCGCTCTGTCGCCCAGGCTGGAGTGCAGTGGCCGGATCTCAGCTCACTGCAAGCTCCGCCTCCCGGGTTCACGCCATTCTCCTGCCTCAGCCTCCCGAGTAGCTGGGACTACAGGCGCCCACCACCTCGCCCGGCTAGTTTTTTGTATTTTTTTAGTAGAGATGGGGTTTCACCGTGTTAGCCAGGATGGTCTCGATCTCCTGACCTCGTGATCCGCCCGTCTCGGCCTCCCAAAGTGCTGGGATTACAGGCTTGAGCCACCGCGCCCGGCCTATTTATTTTTATTTTTTAAAGATGGAGTCTCACTCTGTCACCAGGCTGGAGTGCAGTGGCGCGATCTCAGCTCACAGCAACCTCCACTTTCTGGGTTCAAGCAGTTTTCCTGCCTCACTCTAATTTTTGTATTTTTAGCAGAGACACGGTTTCACCATGTTGGCCAGGTTGGTTTTGAACTCCTGACTTCAAGGGATCCACCCGCCTCGCCCTCCCAAAATGCTAGGATAACAGGCATGAGCCACCGGAAACTTTTAAAATGTAGTAACATCACTGAGAAAAGACAAACACGTTTCTTATGGGGAAATCTCAACATTACCATGGAACTGTATTTACACCAAAAATAAGTGTATATTTTTATTTGAGATTTGACACAAGGATTAAATATTAATGGTTACATTCATTCAGTAAATTACATAAAGGACTATAAATTATTTAAAATATTAAACAAAAACAAGACTTGAAGATCCTTTAATACCAAGAAAGATATTTGATCAATACACTAATCTTATACACTGCAGTTTTATCATAATACAAAACTATGAAAAGACAAAATAAAAAATGAATACAATTTCAAGTACCAGATTTAATACTTTAAAAGGAACATTTCAATAAAACTAAGCTACCACCCTAAGTCGTTTTCTTCAGCATTTTTAAAAAAGAGATAAAAATAATACAGGCCCATCATTTCCTAAATGAATTAACACTGGACATTACTATTCTACAACAAATGATTTCTGTAGGCTTTACCCTAGAATGCTCTTACCCTAAATCTGCATTTAATAATTCACTAACAGTAATATTTTTCTGTTACTTTTACTCTGATACAAGTATATATTTTGCCTTGGTATATAATGTAATTCAGTTGCCTCTTTAACATTTATTGCCAATGTTTGGAAATTGTCAATTTTAATCTATAGGCATTACATTTAATGCATAGGCATTATAAAACAGAGGTATAAATTACAAAGCCAAAGAGTACTTTGATGTTTGCTTATTTTGGGTCTGTTTGTTCACCTTGTTAAAAAAGATGTCATGTTTTTCCATAAACTATTACCTCTATCTAGGAGTTGTATGTCCTTTGGCCCTTTCTTTCCTATGTTGAAATCTCTATTTTGAAAAATGTAAAATGTGTAGACTATAGATGATTTATAGTCTCCTTCCCCTACTAAATCCTATAACCACCGTTTAAGGTGTTACAATAAAATGAATAAACACGTAAATATTTCTTCTTTTGTAAGTAACTGTATATTCTACCATCTATATGATTAGATAAAGAGATATTATTTTTGGTGTGATGCTTTTGGTAAGGAAAGAGAAAAACTTACTGTCTACAAAATAATTTATTTCCATAAAGCAATCAGAAATTATTAAATGGCACTTTACAAATAGTTTAACAGTATTCAGCTTCACACACATATAAAATACTGAAACCAACTTACCCAATAGGCCTTGAAACTACAAGCTCTACTTGTGGTTCAGGTTTGGATTCTAGAATGATGTTGTATACTTCCTCAAATGTGGCTCCTTGCAATAGCCTTCCATTCCATTCTAATACTTCATCTCCTATAGTGTGTGTCAGTAATAATAATCTCATAAAGAAAATTTGATCCAATAAATTACACTTAACAGCATCTTAAAGTTCAATAAACTCCATAGGATAAAATAACCATTATACAATATGAAACATACTCAGAACAGTTCCAGTGACACAAAATTTGATGACCATGGTGATTAGTGTATCTCACAGAAAAGGACAATGATTAGAAGAAAAAATTACATAAACATTATCTCTATGTGATTTCTTAATAGAAATTCAAATTCTAAGCAACAATCAAAATCAGTTGCTTCTTTAAAGATTTTATGACTTTATACTCTAGGTTTCTCAATATATGTGCAACTGAGCACCTTGTTTTTTTGTAAAGGGTTTCCACTGTCTAAACTCTCTTGTAAAAAGCTTAATAATTAGTATATCATCAAATCCTCTTTAAGGTACTCAAGGATTTCTCCAATAGTATCCATTACCAAAGAGATAAGGGGTGACACATGGTAGGAAATATGCCTTTGTCCATAAAGTTTGTTCTAAACTACGTTAGAATTTTCTCAAAAGAAAAAGGTCCTATGGGAAAAAAAATAGGTTAATATTATATACAGATTAGAATACCCATCAGAAAAAAATAAGATATAGTCAATATAAAAATGATTTTGATCTACTATTACTCAAGAAATAATAGTTTTGACTTTCCATTAATGAATAGAGATTTATATCTAAGTTAAATGAGCTTTTTGTTATTGTCAAATCACTTCTAAGTAAATGAAAATAACTCATAACTACTAAAGTTGGACAGTTTAAATGTAAATAATCAAAGGTAAAACCCTACCTGGTCTAAGATGTCCTACAGTATCAGCTAAACTTCCTTTTTTTACTTTAGTAATAAATGCACAAAGCCGGCCTGATTCAGTCATCTTTCCTCCTACAACCTGTTTAAAAGAAGAAAGTATTAACACAGGAATATTGTTAAAATGAGCATAGTTGAAGATTCAGGTAAAAAATACCTAGAACAATTTGCAACATCTAAAACGCTAATTTAATGTACAGAAAATGATTTCTTAAATAATTTATTGTCTCTATTAGGTTAGTATGTGCCCTAAAAGCTAGGTCTTTTTCACATATTCCAACTGTTTTGCCATTTAATACCCATTATTTGCTGAAATGTTGCATAACTTAGAAACTACATAACAATTGGTAATTTTTGTCCTTATTCTAAAATTCTTGCTTTTGTCATTTCCAAAAACATATTTTACAGTATCATATTAATTATATAAACATTTCTAGTTATAGATGTAAATACTTTAATACAAAATTTTTGTTTCTTTTACTATAATTAGGATATACCACCAAACTTTCATTGGTAATCTTTTAGAAACACTGATAATGTGCATAATGATGATGGATCTTACTTGAAAAAAATTACAAAATTTACTTAATCGCATTAGAAGTAATGTAAACTTCAGACCATCTGAATCTCAATTTTTCATTTTTATGTTTCTATTAAAATATAACTTTTAGAAAATGAATAAAAATGTTAGGAATAATGCTGTGGAGTCATATGTATACTTGTATATCTTACAAAATTAATGCTTTGATTCTAATCAACTACCATTCAGTCAAATATCTCAATTTGATGGCAAGTGAAGCAAATAATAGCAACTAACTTCACTGACTGAAATGAATTGGTTTTTCTCTTCTAAACAGAGTGAAAGTTATTTGAATTCAAAAATCATGGGGTGTATCTTATTCCATGCATTTTTTCCATAATTACAGTGAATTACACATAGCTGCAATTCAGTTAATAAACTAATTAGTCCTATGTTTGAATCTGAAAATTAAATGTATAGCTCTTATTGACTTATATCCTTAAGTAAATATTTTAAAACTTTCTTGGCTTAACAAACATTAATAATAATTAATTAATTACACTAGCTATAATGATTATTGATATCTTAAAGCTTGCCAGGCACTTTACTAAATGTCTGTATGTTTGTTTATTTAATCATATTACAACAACTCAATTATCCTCATTGAATAGATAAGAAATCTAAAGCTAAGAGAAGTTTATTTGTCCAGTTTCATGTAACTAGTAACTCCTGTATTTGGAATTGAAGCCAAGACTTCCTAATCTTTATTCTAACACTATAATAGGTATCTCTGGATTAAAAAATTGTTTTTAAGACAAAGGGTCTCACTATTTTGCTCAGGCTGGACTTGAAACCCTAGGCTCAAGCAATCCTCCTGCCTTAGCCTTCCAAGTAGCTGGGACTATAGGCACATCTCACTGTCCCTGGAAATGGGTCAAATCTGAATTTAAATTCCACCATCATCACCATCTTGTGACCACGGGGAAGTTAAACACCTCTCTAAGCCTATTTCTCATCTATTGTGAGTGTTAACTAGGATAACAGATATAAAATGCTCAGGTGAGTGCAAGCACATGGATGCCACCCAATAAATGTTCTTGCAAGATCTGGTCATCTAAACCTATGTGGCACCTTGCTTCCCACTCCCACTCTCTCATGCTCCTGCTTTTGCCATGTGACATGTGTACTCTCCCTTCACCTTTGACCATAATTGTAAGCTTCCTGAGGCCTCCCCAGAAGCCAAGCAGATGTTGGCACCATGCTTCCTTTAAAGCTTGCAAAACTATGAGCTGATTAAACCTCTTTTCTTTATAAATTATCCAGTCTCAGGTATTTCTTTAAAGCAATGCAAGAAAGACCTAATACATAGCCCATTTCCACCTACATCCAAAGTTTCCTAATATCTCTTATATTCTACAGGACAATTTTTATAGGAATGACTTAGCTCTAAAACATTTACTTTATTTAGAGGGAGAGAGAGTCTCATGCTGTTGCCCAGGCTGGAGTGCAGTGGTGTGATCACAGCCCACTCTAACCTCAAACTCCTGGGCTTAAGCAGTCCTCCTGCCTCAGCCTTCTCAGTAGCTAGGACTCCAGGCATGTGCTGCTATGTTCAGCTATTTTAAAATTTTTTGGGCTGAGCGCAGTGGTTCAATCCCAGCACGTTGGGAGGGCAAGGTGGGTGGATCACGAGGTCAAGAGATCAAGATGATCCTGGCCAACATAGTGAAATCCCATCACTACTAAGAATACAAAATAAATAAATAAATAAATAGCTGGGAGTGGTGGTACGCGCCTATAGTCACAGCTACTCGGGAGGCTGAGGCAGGAGAATCACTTGAATCCAGGAGGCAGAGTTTGTAGTGAGCCGAGATCACACCACTGCACTCCAGCCTGGGTCACAGAGCGAGACTCCATCTCAAAAAAAAAAAAAAAAAAAAAAAAAAAACATTTGGTAGAGACAGGACTTCACTATGTTGTCTAGGTAGGTCCAAAGCAATATTCTCCTGGTCCAAAGCAATATTCCCACCTGGGCCTTTCAAAGTGCTGTAATTACAGGCATGAACCATGACACCCAGCATATTCCTTTTTCATTTCAGGTTTTAATTGGGTATACTAGATGCACAGAAACCAAACAAAGCTCTATTTAATGTATTTACCAAATAATTTCCTGGTATTTTACAGTAAAATATAAATCAATATTTGTATTTAATTTCCCAGCATAATTATTTTTGTTTTTAGAATTCAAACAGTACTCTCTTAAGTGCACATATGCACATACACACACATACACACATTTTACAGCATTTATACAAAATTATATATATACATATGTAATATACATATTACATTTCCCAAGTTTTCATTTTGAGTAATTATAAAAAACTATCACTTTAATAAAATATAAACACAGATTTAGACTTAAAGAATAAACTGTATAGTTAAAATGAGTTTGACCACTGTATTTCAGATTCAGGTAGATTCTAATGAGGTTACTTTTAATGTCTTCCAAATTTATATATACACAAGTATTACTGTGGAATTATGGCAACTTCTTAAATAATAGTGGGAAAATGAAATGTTTTAGATAATGAGTGCAAATCTTCACAAATTACTGAAAATGGAAAAATACACTACTAAATTGGTACAGGTTGAAAGTTATCCTTTGCTTTTCTGGTAAACCTATAAGAGTATAGAGCCAAAATATCATACATTTTATTACATACCTTCAAGCCAAGCATTGCTCCTGAATCTCGAGGTACACTTCCATCTTTTAGACGCTTATTTAATAAAATGCGACCAATTAAACGATCTCCATCTTTAGATGGTTGCCAGGTTACAGGGTGCTGACATTTTGCATCAACAAACAAAATAAATAAATACAAAATAAATAAATGATTTTGTCAATTTATGACAAATGGTCTCTGATTGTATGACCTCTCTAAACTTCAGAATTCCAGTTTTATGATTACACAAACCAGCTTTCATTTCAAAGCACTGCTCATAAGGGTGTACTATATTATGCTTATAACCTCAGTATAATCTCAAAGTTTTTTTCAAAATCCAATTACTTCCAGTTCTTACAGTTCTCTAACACAATAATGAATAGCTTTACAAAATCTAAGAAATTTTGAAAATGCGTGCAACTAATTATCTACATGCTGAAAAATAAAAATTCACAGGTTGAAAGATACACTGAAATTCTATGCAAGTGAATTAATTTAAAAATGAAAATTTCCTCTTCAAACACATTTGGAAGATTTTGAAAGACTGTATTACAGTAACAATTAAAAAGTCAAATCATATTAAAACATTAAATTTGACCCTATGATGAGGGCTTTTTTGAAGAGGTTTCTAGATTTAAATAATGAAGTGTACATAAACCCCAATAAATTCCCAACTGAATCTGCATGGGAGAGAAACAGGCTTCATTTACAGGTGGGAATAGATGACATTTCTCACTTCTCAGAGGTTCTTTCATGATTCTTTCAGGTTTCTGATCTATTTAGTAAATTACCTTTACTGGATAATTCAATGATATCTATTGTTAAATAACCTTGAAAACATTAGTAGAGAAACATCTTTGTTTCTCAGGGCTGAACCAAGGCCTCTGTAAATAATGACACTATTCTATTATGAATGATATGCTCAATAGGAAAGTAAACGATTTGTGTAATCATAGTTTCATAGTTATCAAAAAGTAACAGGCATATCTTCATGCAAAATTTAGCAGGCAAAATGCAAGTTCCAGTCAATCGCATCTATATGGTAAAAAGATTTAAAAAGTCCCACTATCCTAAAAGCAAAAATAACAAATATCAAAGCAGATGGCAAGGGCTCTAATACTAATTAATACTACATTAAAATGCTATGACAATAAAACAAAAGACCAAAATGACAGTGAAAGGGAAAAAAGAAAAACAACTTTTTCTGTGCAAACAGTCCCAATTATCTCCCTTTTGTCTGGGATTCAAACTATTAATAATTTAATTTTCATCCCAAGGAAAACATATGCAAGCAATCAAATAAGCCAATCCAAAAATTATTTATTATTTGTGGTTTTTAATAACACTACAAAGTTCTCTCATGCAACAAAAGACAAAACATTCCTTTGTTCCTAAGATTTATTTTTATATATTTATTTTTTGGTATGCCGTCAAACAATAAAAACAGCAAAGTAACCAAGAGATTTTTTTGGTTTGTTGTTTGTTTAGTTTGGTTTTGTTTTTCTTTTCTGCACCTTAAGAAATGCTACAGTGACCCTTGAGATGCCCTGTCCTTTTATTATGTTCTGTTTTAATGAGTGACAGAGAGCAAACGAAGACCGAATGAGCAGGTTAAAAGGCAGGCTCCACAATCTCAGTACCTTATCACTATGGCTATGCTCCTCGTTAAGGGTTGTGCTACTACACGTATCTACCCCAGAGTCCTTAATCTGAGGTTCAGACCATTCCAAATCCTCTTCCAAAGAGTGGCCACCAAAGTACATCATTTTCTTTTGTCTTTCAGACCTGTTGTTAGAGTCCGACAAAACTGCCTGCTCACTAGTTTTTCTTTTTCCCTTTTGACTGTCCCCTACAGGTATGGGATAAAAAAAAAAAAAGAAAGAAAGAAACAAAAAAGAAACATGCAAAGGTGTAAATAAAAAAGGAAAAGTGAAATGATAACGAAAATTAAATAGTAAGGCTCCACATGTCTCACCAAAGACATTGGGGATGCCTCACTGCTATGCCAAGACGTATGATCCAACCAGTTGTAATCCATGTCTCCTGTGAGAGTCAGACAAAAGAGCGCAGTAAAGGAGATGGTGAAAAAAGGGACAGACAGAGACATTATAAACATTTTAAACTGTGTAATCCTGTCTGGTCTCAAGAACTTTGTCTGTATAAATAAATACATATATATATATACACACACACATATATATATATGCCAAAAGAAAGCTAATATTTAAAATGAGTAAAATTTATAGAAAGTATAATATAAGGTTTATATCTCTAGACAGATCCTACAGAACAAAAGTCCTGCGAAAAGAGAAATAATAATAAACGGAAATAGAAACAAAAAAAATGTATATGCTGAAAAAGACTATCAGCTATGACTGTTATTCATGCTATTTTTTTTACTCCCATGTTGGTCTAAAGACATGAGTTTGTTCTTCAAAGATTAAGGGACATTTAAAAAGTTTACATTGGTTTGCCAATAACCAGTATTTTAAAAAGCCAAATAATTAAATGCCATTTCTGAAATGCAGTATGATATTCTTCATCATGCTAAAACCTTCTAAGAAATTTGGGTGGTTAAAAAAATTGTTTCCACAAAATAGTAATTTGTATGAAAATTATAAAACAGATTCATTCAATATTAGTAAAAATAAACTTTACTTAAACATCATGAATCACTTAATATTTTGAAATAATTTTTCAACTTTTTTCAGAAATCACATTCTTATAAAAAGTAAATTAAAAAAATTTTGTCAGATAATTTATGTAACTGGCAACTAAGAATGTATATCCACCATTTCCCAAACTTATATGCTTCTTATTTGCTCAGTAGTTCAAAATATAAAATATTTGTTATCTTTAATATCTTTTTAGTCTATATATTCACATATATCTTTTAAAATTCTATTTATAATTTTATTTTCTAAAAATACATACTGAACACCTTCTATTTGCTATGTATTGTGTGAGCTCTACTGTAAAGGGTAAAACAATGAAATATGCTTACAACAGAGTAGGGATAGAGAAACAGAACAAATCATCAGTGTCACATAGGAAAATACAAGACACTATGAAAGAGTACAATAAGATCTAATTTAGACTTTGGGGTCAGCAAACACCCCTAAAGTAATAATGTTTAAGATGACAACTGAAAGATGTGATATGGTGCTATAAAAGAACTGAAGGAACACAATGGTTTCGGAACCAAAAAGAATGAAGAAGAATATGGTACTAAGTGAAACTGGTAAGGCAGCACAGAACAACTTAGATAAGTCTTTTATTTCATATTAAAGATTTTAAATTTCAACCATTGAGGGATTTTAAGTGTAATGGTGACATAATCTGATGAACTTTTTAAAATGATGAATATAAGTACTACATAGAGACTAGGCTGTATGACACCAAAAGTTAAAAGACATTTACAATAACCCTTGGAAAAGGTAATTATGGCTTGAATAAAGATAATAGCAATAGACATGGTAACAAAAAAGGGACTGAGATGTTTTTGAGTGTTAAAGACTAAAGAGTCAAGGTTAACTCCCCAGTTTCTGGCATTAATAACTGAATGGAAGAAAAAATTTATGAGATGGAGAAGATTGGAGGAAGAGCACTTCTTGTTAGGGAAGGGTAAGAGGGAATCTATTTCATAAAACATATGACACCATTGACTATAGGATTCATAACTTTCAGGATATAAAAATGTTCGTCTTAGAATTTATTAAATATGGTGGTTGAATTTTGATATATTATTTGAACCTAGTGCACATACAAGAAGGAAACTGGCTAGGGTGTAATAAAACTTAAAGTTTTAGCTGGACATGGTGGCTCATGCCTGTAATCGCAGCACTTTGGGAGGCTGAGGCGGATGGATCATGAGGTCAAGAGATGGAGATCATCCTGGCCAACATTGTGAAGCCCCATCTCTACTAAAAATACAAAAAATTAGCTGGGTGTGGTGGTGCACACCTGTAGTCCAAGCTACTCGGGAGGCTGAGGCAGGAGGATTGCTTGAAACCTGGAGGCGAAGGTTGTAGTGAGCTGAGATCACACCACTGCACTCCAGCCTGGAGACAGAGCAAGACTGTCTCAAAAAACAAAACAAACAAACAAAAAACTTAAAGTTTTGATCTGGAGACATAAATTGGCAATTATTAACATATAGACAGGAGTAAGTGAGATCATTTAGGGATAGAGGATAAAATAAGGTATGAAGAGAACCCAAACTGAATTCTGACATTTAGGGTTTGATTTGAGAAAAAAAAAAAAGAGAGAGAGAGAAGATTCAAAAACAGCATGCAGAGAAAAAAAGGAAGGAAGGAGGGAGACAGAGGGAGGTCTCCAAATCAAATAGAGTTGCCTAAAACAAAGAAGAAATAAACTATCCTGAATGATTTTTACATATCAAATAAGATGAGGAGGTTAAAAATATGCATTGGATTTGGCAACCATGAAGATTAGAAAAGATGTCAGGAAGAACAATTGGATAGAATGATGAAAATTAAAATCAGGTTGAAGAAACCAAAAAACCAAGGGAAGTGAAAAGTAGAAAAAGTTGTGTGTAAATGAATGGTTCTCAAATTGCAGTTCTCAAAATAGCATCATCGGCAACACCTGGGAACATGTTAGAAATGTAAATTCTGGGTGTCACCCTAGACTTAATGAATCAGAAACTGTTAGTGGGCCTAGCAATCTGTATTTTAACAAGCCTTCCAGATGATTATGGTCAGATGTTTGAGAATTACTGGAGACAATTCTTTTAAGAAACTCATTTATGAAAGAGAATAGGCTTTATTATCTAACACACACAATATGCAATTTGTAGAAAGAATCCCATTCTTTAACCTATGGGCCAGAGAAGTGCTTCCCAAGCTTTTTCATAATTACAATATTAGTAAAACACACTGGAGTATATGGAGATGACCAGTACCTAGGATACTTATGCCCATGCCTGGATGGCTACCCAAAAAGCTAAGAGTATCTGTGTCTCAGAAAACCTGTAGCCCTTTCAAAATACAGTTGTGTCCCACAACAAAGCATTGACAAATCTGTGCAGTAGAGAAAAAACAGTATGAAGCCTGTAAATAAAAATTCTTAACTGGTTTATCTGACAGTAAGAAAATTCAACACAAAATTTCTCTTCTCCCTCTGTGCTTGCAACCTATCAAAAAGGCAGAAATGTAATTTCTTTTGTTCTGAAAATAAAAAATTTAAGCTGTTTAACCATTTGAAACTAAAGTTAAAACCTCTGATTGACAAAAAAAAAAAAAAAAAATTGTCCTACATTCTGGGCGCAGTGGCTCATGCCTGTAATCCCAGCACTTTGTGAGGCCGAGGCGGGTAGATCACCTGAGGTCAGGAGTTTGAGACCAGCCTGGTCAACATGATGAAACTCTGTCTCTAATAAAAATACAAAAACTAGCCGGGCATGGTGGCATGTAGCTCCCAGTCCCAGTTACTTGGAAGGCTGAAGCAAGAGAATCATTTGAACCCAGAAGGCGGAGGTTGCAGTGAGCTGAGACAGTGCCATTGCACTCCAGCCTGGGCAACAACAAAGCGAGACTTCATCTCCAAAAACAAAAACAAAAGCAAAACAAAACAAAAAACTGTCATGTATAAGTACTAAATAAACACTTGTTGAATGAGTAAAATTAGTGTCCCTGTAAGAATACGATAATTAATGGTAAATCACATAGAAAATAGTCCTAAAAACTATTAAGACTATTATTATAGACCTAATAATACTTACCACTGGATATTCTTATTTTTTGCAGCTTAATAGTATAGAACTAAGATAATAAAATATCTTTTCTTAGTAACAGTACAAAAACGTATTAGTGTGCTTTCCAGTTCTAGAACAAGAACTAGAAAGCACATAAAGAACCAAATGGAAATTTTATAACTGAAAAATAACTGAAATACAAAAAGCAACCACAGAATGGAGAGGACAGAGGAATGACTCAGTGAACTTGAAGATGGAACAATAAAAATGACCCAATCTGAAAAACAGACAGAAAATAGAATAAAGAAAAAAAAAAAAGAAGAAGAAAAGAAAATGAACAGAGCCTCAAGGGCCAAGAAACTATAGCAAAAAGTCTAACACTCATATCATTGTAAGTCCAGGAGAAAAGAAAGTGAATGGGTTAAAAAAAAAAAAAAAAAGTATTCAAAGAAATAAAGACAGAAAATTCCCCAAATTTGGCCAAAGATATAAGCCTATAGATTCAAGAAACTATGTAAAACCCTAAACAAACAATACCCAAAGATATCTGTTACAAGATACACCATAATCAAACTAAAACTAACAACGAAATATCTTAAAAGCAGCAAGAAAAAGCAACACCTTACCTAAAAGGGAAAAACAATTCAAATGATAGCAGACCTCTCATCAGAAACCTGAGAGGCCATAAGGAAGTGGCACAATATTTTTCAATTGCTAAAATAAAAGAAATGTCAACCTGAATTCTAAATATGATGAAATTATCTCTCAGAAATGAATGAGAAATACATTCTCAGGCAAAAGAAAACAAAGAGATTCTGTCACCAGCAGATCTACCCTAAAAAAATAACTAACGGAAGTTCTTGAAGCAAAAGAGAAAGAAAGAAGGGACCTGAAAGTATCAAGAAGGAATAAAGAACATACTAAGCAAAAATACGGGGTTTCTTTCTCCTCTTGAGTTTTCTAAATTATGTTTTTGATATTTAAAGGCAGAACATACATTGTCTGATGTGGTTTTCAACATATATAAAGAAAATATTTAAGACAAGTCCATTATGAGATAAAGGAGAAAATAAAGGAATTTAAGTGACTTAAGGTTTCTACATTCCAGTCTAGTTAAACTCAACACCAATACAATGTGATACGTTGTGTACATGTAATATATTACCTAAAGCAACTACACAAAAAACCTACAAAAAGAAATACACTTAAACACTCTAGGTCAATCAAAACACAATTCACAAAGCATTTCAAATAAAAAAAAAAAATGTTCAAATAACCCGTAGGAAGGCAAGGAAAAGAAAACAACAAAATTAGCAATAGAAGGAAC